GTTGTGACTAAGACAGACTCCTGGCCCTCAAGACGTTTATAACTTGTTGGGGAAGAGAGGCAATAAGCATATAATGGTGCATCTAAAGTAATTCAGGTACAGATAAGTGCTATCTATGAAGATAATGGAGTACTGAGAAAGTGACAGAGACAGATGGTGGGGGCTTAGCTGGGCATGTGGACAGAGGAAGCCTCTGGAGAACAGAGTAGCATTGCAGATTTGCTCACTCATCACCCATTCTAACCTCTGTTTTGCATGCAGAGGTGAGAAAACCAAAATTACATTTCCCAGATTCCTTTTTAGTTAGGGTTCTGGGCGGATGGGATTTACATCCCACTGGTCAGATATACTTACAGAAGAACTTGATTTGGAGCTATGTTAAGTGGGGAAAGCAGGGCAGGACACAGACAATCCATGTTGGTGGCACTAATCCTGACAGAGGCAACACAATGCAGGAGCCATGGCTGTGACAGCAGCTGCTTCTTTTAGCAGAAGTAGCAGTGTCCGTGGTGGCCTAGTGCTTTGATATGGTCTTCAAAATCCTCCCTGGAACTCCAGCCACTCCCATGGCTGGAAAAATTGTGCCTTCTATAGGCACCCTTCCCCCTCCTCCCACCTCGGACTCATGTCTGATATTTAATCTGGATGGAGGCTCTGTCAGAATCTGAGACCAGCCACCACTGGGGGGAGGGGACATAGGCAGTGACCTGAGGACAGGATACCAAGTGCACAAAGAGGCTGGGAAAAGGACTCTTGCCTTATAAATGGAGGCGTCTGGTCCATCAAACCGGAGACCTGGAGGACACAGGAAAAAGAACAAAAAATACCATCTGAGAGGATTCCAAAGGCTCTTGGAGGCTTGCACCTTTTTGGCTAACTCCACATTCTTCCAAAGTCCCTTTAAGTGTCACCTCCTACTTAGGGTGTTTGCTGACACATTCCCGTTTTCCCAGGGTTCTGTTCAATGCTTTCCATGGTCCTTCTTAAACCCCAAAAGTTCTAAAACCTCTGATGTCCATGTTCAACTTTGGTTGGGTGCTGCGAATTAATCCAGTCCCTGTTATCTCTGTTACTGAAGAGAAGGAAGCAATGGACAAATAATGAATCATCCTTGTATGAGGTACCGAGAGTAGTCAAATTCATCAAGACAGAAGGTAGAATGCTGGTTGCCAGGGTGTGGGGGGAGGGGTGGTTAATGTTATATGAGTAGAGAGTTCCAGCTGGGAAAATGAAAAAGTTCTGGAGATGAATGTGGTGATGGTTGTAAACCAATAGGAATGTACTTAATGCAACAAAACTGCACACTTAAAATGGTTAAAATGGTAAATTTTGTTATGTGTACTTTACCACAGTAAAAAAAAAAAAAACAAAAAAACAGAATCATCCAAAGTGGTATATCATTTTTTAAATTTCTATTCAAAAACACTAACAACCTCAGATGAATTTACTTTAGCATCTATCTCTGTTCTTATATTATGACTAATTCAAGTTCTGATTCAAACATATCCTCCATACGTGGCCATCGATAACTTAATAAACTCCTCTGTGAAACTGGAAAAACAATATTTTCCTCATAGGGCTGTGATGCTGAACTAAAGGAGTGCGTAAAATTCCCTCATGGAAAGGAATTTTAATTAATACAAATATTCCACTCCCTGGAGATGGGCTCACGCTTTGCCTGCTCCCATGATGCTGACGGACATCAAAAAGCCAATCATGTTCTAAGATTCCTTGAGGCACAGATTTCTGTCCTCTTCTGTGTTATCTCACAATCCCAGGGAGGTCACGGTTTCAAAAGGAAATCCCCAGTGGTGGAAACGGTGACACTAGCATTAAATGAAATCATGTTAAGCTTCTTGCTTGTGCTGAGTCCACAGCAGGTACCCAATGAATGACTGTTCCCTTCCGCTCCCCGCTCCCCCCGTTTGCTTAAGAAGGAATAAGAAAGGTGCCCACATTCTCTCAGGATGGGGATGTACCTACCTGGGATGAGAATTGTGTGCAGGGGCATCACCTCCACCCCATGAACCGGGTACCCGAAGGGGAGGTTGGGAGGAGCCAGCAGGGGCGGTGGGCGGGGAAGCCCTTCTCTGTAAGGAAACAGAATCCTTAGCAACTGTCCTGACATCTGTCCCTAACTAGTGCCTGCGCCCAGAGCCTTGTGCTGCCAGTGAGGAGAAATGGAAAGTAGATTGTTTCCATCTCCCCTCCATTCTCTCCCCATCCCTTATTTCCAGCCTCTAATTCCACAAAGGAATTGAGGCAGTTCACAATAAAACACATAAAAAATAAAAAAGCACGACCAGCAGAAAAGAAGAAACAAAATAATCAGACCGTATGGGCCGACCCAGCTGCAGTAGCCGAACGTCAAACTCACATGTGAACTTCCTGGTAGCCAGGGTATAAAATGATTGCCAATCAAAACTCTGGTCTTATTATCAAAAGAGAAAATCAGACCAACTCCTGAAGAGAAGTAAAAGTTTTCCTGGCACTGAACAAAATTAAAATATATCACAAGAAACTTTTTATGTGAATGGTTATTGTCTCGATATTTTTTAGAGCAAACACAGTGATGATTTTCAGGTGGTTTTGTTTTTGTAGCAAACTTCAGTCAGGGACAAATGAGTGCATAACACAATCCAGCAAGACTGATTCTTTGAGGGACTAAGGTAACATATTTGAAATGTAGCCTCCAGGGATCCAGTTTAACCAAGGATATCACTTAGATCACCTGGAAGAGAGATTAGACTACTGTAGTGCATATTTGTGGAAATATAAAAAAAGGCATAATATAAAAAAGGACATAAATAGGCAATTGACAGAAGAGGAAATACAAATGGCTAATAAATAGATGAAACACGCTTAGCTTCAATATTAACCAGGGAAATGCAACTTTAAAAAACAAATACCTTTTCATTAACGTTTAAAATTTTGTTAGCGAGTGTTGAGTAAGTGGGGGTAAGTAGGGGGTATGTAAGGTACTATGCTTACTCACTCTTAATGAAAGTGTGAATTAATACAGGCCTTCTCAAGGGCAATTTGGCATTATTTATTAAAAGTAGCAGTGAGTGTATCCTATGATGGAGCAGTTCAGGTGCTTGGTAAGGGGAGAAACACTTGTAAGTGTTGGAAATGAACGTTTTTATACATAATGAAATAAAAACAATCTAAATATGATATAACATGATTATTTAAATTATATAAATAAAATTAAAAAAGTTTTTAATCTAATATCTTTCAATAGAGGAATGGTTTAATAAAACTCAAGTGTATTCATATTCATAACTGTATAGTAATTAAAAGGAATGAACAAGATGTATAGATAGCTCTTAAAAACATTTAATGAAAAAGCAAATTTCAGAGTGATTTGTTCTTATGTACCAATTACATTAAAACATCACACAAAACTCTAACAGTGTATGTTTATATGGACATATACACACATAAATATGTGTGTGACTCTCTGTATTCATCTCTGTGTGTAATAATATAAGAAATAGTGTGGAATAATATATACCAAACTCATAATGGCAGATTCCTCAGCTGGGTTGGCAAAGGGAGCATATCATATAAGGAAGTGAAGAGAATGGGGTTGAGGGGATTGGTTCAAGATGACTTTTTTAAAAAAGTAGCATTATCCATGTACTACTTTTTAATTGAAGTATAATATGGAGCTAACACATAGGATCAGATTGACCAATCAGACTCCCATGAATTAGAAATCTTATCTAGTATCAAAGCTCCACTAATAACTTCAAGAGCACACAGAGGTCTTGGGCATCCTGGGTGGATCCCTGGGTCACGCCTTCCCGCGTCAGACATGCTCTCTCTGGCAGAGAATAATAGATATGATCTCCAAATGAAGTCTTGCTGGATTCCTTCACAGAGCAGGGAGCATATAACTTACGAAGCATCTCCGTTGTGCACCCACAAAGAGGGGTATAGCTTATGGGACATCTGCCAAGGAGCCAAAGATTCTGGGTTACTTACTATATCTGATCTCTTTGGCTGAAGTCCTAGCTCTGGGAGCACCAGTGTAAGGAAAGAGACATAGGATCTGTATGCATGAACCTTCCAGTCTGATGGAGGACAGTTTAGTTCTTACAGAGCCCTTAGGCTGATGGGAGAACTACATTTCTGTCTTCAGGAGCCACCAATCAGATGGAAGCATCAAGACACAAGGCTTAGCTAGGCTTTGGGAATGCCCATAGAGCAATGAGCTCTGGAAATTAATAAAAGGCAGTGATTGTCAACCTGGTAGAGTAGGGTGTGGGGAGAGGAAAGTAACAGACTGTCTGGAAGGGCCTTCTCAAACTATACCCCTTCTATGACCTCCCCTCCCCCATCATCCCAGAAGAATCACCATTTGCTGTTACCAAAAAGTTGTAGAGTGGCCTACCCACCCAGGTATGCTGGAATAGAACAACTTTTGGGAACCACTGACCTAGGCCAATCAGGCTAGTACTTGTGGAACTGAAAGAGGCAGGTTTCCAGCCTGAAGATGCTACAGGAAACTCAGAGGAAGAGTGTGTGGGACAGAGAAGTGGAAACAATCCTTCTTGACTGGTGTGTTGTGTTAACAGGGCTGAGAGGAGCTGGGCAGGGACATGGTTAGCTCTGGGGGTGTCCTTGTCCGCCTCCTGGCCTGAGAGCATGTGCCCTCTCAGCCAATATTTATTAGAGATGTAATAGCTTGGCTCACACCTGTCTTGCCAGGTAGAAACCCAGGTCTGACTCCTATCCATCCAACAAGATCCAAACCTGCCCCATCCCAAGAAGGAGCCACCAGACTGTCAGCAGTGTCTAAAAGAGTGGAGTGAGCTGCAATGGAGGTTTTGCATCTGAGTGTAGTTTATTCAGAGTGTAGTTAAGTTACAAAGGGGAGTTCCAGACTGAGAGGAAAAGCATGAAGATCTTGAACCCTTGAGGGTTGAGGTGAGGAAAAAAACATAATTAGCCCCAAGCAAGATCTTCCTTCCTGAGCATGCTGGATGAGTAGCAGAACACTTATCCTAAATATGGGACCTCTTGGATACCTCAAAATTGGCTAGCATGCTAGCCATTGAATGTTGGTACCTTAATGCTTGGTCTAGCCCACTGTCCACAGCTAAGCTTGGAGACTTTATGAAAGGCAAAATCTTGCCCACTTGCTTCCATCAAAGCTGTCAGGCCCAAGATAGGTCACTCCAAAATATCCCACAATGGTATATTGATTGCTTTGAATTAAAGTTACTTGACAAGTAGCCAGTGCCAGAAGGGCATCTTGACTCTCCCTGAATTCAGAAAATAAATCTCTCATATGAAAGATGTCCTCCCCTCCCACCTCCGCCCCCCACCTGGAAGACATCCCTATCACTAAACAGCTCAAATCTGAACAGTCTATAAGCAAACCTTGTAACTCCCTTACTAATTTACTACCCAAGCCCAAATCTTGCTTAGAGTCCTTTCTGCTGAGCACTAACTTCCTTTCTCCTGTCGATTTCTCACAAATTTATTTTTTCTTTGTCGAAAAAGTATAAAATGGTGCTTGGTTTGAACATTACTTTGAGCTTCATTTTAAAATCTAAGCAACACATTATGATTCTCTTCTGCGCACATATTAAATTGGTTTTACTCCTGTTACTCTAGTCTCGTGTCAATTTTATTAATTTGATTGTTAGACCACCCAGAAGAGCTTGACTAGAAGGGAAATTATTTTTCCTCCCCTACAAGGGAGATACACACACACACACACACACACACACACACACACACACACACACACACACATATATATGATTTGTAATGTGCTGGAGCTGGCTTGTACTGGCATGGGAAAGCCAACTGTTGAATTTTCAGGAATTTCACAAGCCAGATGTTAAACATAGCCATCAATAAAATTTAAATTACATATACTTAAAATGTAATATAATGGGGAAAAAAGGTAATAAACACTCAGCACTCATCACTTTCTAATTGCTTTACTACATTTTACAAGTATCTCTGCTCTTGAGGTTATTTGCATATATTGTACCTGTATGGTGGAGATATTATAGAATGGTGACGGACTGTGTATATCTTCCCAACTCTGTATGCACTGACGTCATGTCAATAGCTTGAAATCAGCCCTTGTGTGATTGATTTTTAAACCACAGAAATTGGCAAACACTGAAAACCACTGTCAAAAGCCTCAAAAACCTGTTATTAAACATTTACCACTACTGTTCATACCTCTCCCCCAACATATACAAACACACCTACACACACACACTCTCACACACAAATATTCACTCCACTTTTAAAAACACAAATGGTAGTATGCTGTACAAATTTTCAGTACCTTGCTTCTATTTTCTCAGTAAATGAGCCACACCCAGAACTCTGACCAGAGTCACATGTCACTTCATGCCTTATTAGTCATTCACTTCTTGACTGCCAGGCCCTGTGCTAAACTGGGGACAAAAAGAAAATGAAGCCCCATTCCTGGGAGGGGGAGAACCAAGACCTAGACTCCAACAACCAGAATACTAGAATCTTGTTCAGTAACAGAGATGAGGCCAGCTCTGAATGTCGCCTTCTTGACTGTTTCTTTTTAATTCTCAGAGCTGGAAACTGCTCTCTCTTAGGATCTGCATCACTCTCTCTGACTGCTATTATAACCTTGAGCTCTTGAGTCCTACCCAATTTGCTGACTACATTCTATGGGCCACAGACTTCCCACATTCACTCAACACAGGGTTCGGGCACTGTGATTATGGCGACCCATGAAAGCTGTGATGGGACTGGACATGACTCTGGGGGAGGGTGCACTTACTGTATCCTCTATTATATTGTGAGCTCATTGAGAGCAGCATCTAGTTCAGATTTCTCTTTGTACCTAATCCGATGCCTTGCTCAAAGCAGATACCCAGTGTGTTTCATCAGCTATTTGAGAGATTTGAGGCACTGGTAGGAACTGGATGTCTCCCAGCCCATCTACTTCTTTACTTGCATGAGACATGGTTCACATGGGTTTTATCGTTGAGCCGTTTGTTTTTGTTCACACAAAACAATACAGTGTTTACATAATACCATACCTGAATTGCCAGGTATAATATTAAGAGAGGTGGAG